TGTATAATAATAAATTTATATAGCTACTTTTATAGTTGGTTTGGTTCGATTTTTTTCGGTTATTGTTTTATTAAAACCAAAATCAAACCAAATTTGATCGGTTTTTAAAATTTAAAACCAAAACTAAAAAGTATCGGTTTGTTTAGTCGGTTTTCGGTTTGATTCAGTTTTCGGTTTGGTTCGGTTTTTTCTTATTTTTATGAACACCCCTAATCACCCATCCGGCCAAGGCTTCAAATACACATCTTAGGTGAGTTTTTAAGTATGTTTTTATGATGATTTCACTTCTCAATCACTAGTTACAACAAGGTTTTGTATTGGATTCCATAGGATTTCTTCAAAATCTCAAGAACACCCCAAATGTTGACTTTCAAGATTTGGTCTACAAGAAGTAATCTTTCATCCTTAAACCTACATGAATGGATTGTTAGTGAATAAATGAGCAAGGAATAAGTACTAGAACTTATGAGATGGTGATTGGAAGCCATAAATGCTTAAACTAGATTATTGGGTGTGGTAGAGATTTTGTAACAAGTTAACTAGTAAAATTTGATAGATGTGAGTCCATTGATGATTATAATGGTGCTAAGAAGGTAGTTAGTGGACAAAGGATGTTGTAGTATCTCTTGTTGGTGGTAAGGAGGTATTGTTGGAGGAAGAAACACCATTACTAGAGGTAGTTGAATGTTATGCACACCTAGTATTTGATAAAATGCTCAAGTGAGCTAGAACCATGATCATCTTCCTAATTTTGGTTCAATTTGTTATATTTCTAAAATAGATTGAAGTTGCAAAGAATTTCGGAAACTTCTAGAGTTTAAGGAAGCTCAATTGAGGTATGTTGGCTAAACTTTTTCTCTTGGAATTGAATTTTATGATGTTCCCGTAAGCTCCAAGTATGGTTATCTCAAGTTCCTTATTCTATGTTCCGAGTTGTTCCCAATAAATTCGATTGTCTCGAATAAGCAAAGTGATGAGAATTGTGTAATCAAAACTTGTATCGATTGTTCCTATCACATTATGTTAACCTTTGGAAATGTGTTCAAGAATGATATATGTATTAAAATGCTATGTCTTTGAATCGTATTTCAAATGAAAGCTAGTATGCCAAATTGTGTGAGAAAATCTCAATATTCTTAAGACTCTAAATTGCTCATATGTGTACCTAAAGTCTTGATTGGAAATGTCTTAGTGTTGATGACTTATAAAGATGGTTGGAAGTGAAATAAGTGAATTGTGGATATAAAGTGTGGCCAACGTGCCAATAATGAAAGTTATACTTGTGGCCAATGGTGCCAATGAAATGAAATAATGTGAGAAAGATTATGAAACGTATAGGTATATTGTTATCTGAAATCCTGTGGACGGTCTATAAAACGCATAGGTATATTGTGATGTGAAATCCTGTGGGCGGTCTATGAAATGCATAGGTATATTGTGTTATGAAATCCTGTAAACGGTCTATGAAATGCATAGGTATATTGTGATCTGAAATCTTGTGGACGGTCTATGAAACGAATAGGTATATTGTGTTATGAAATCTTGTGGACGGTCTATGAAACGCATATGTGCATTGTTTATGAGAAGTATAGGTGTATGGTATGAATAAACACTATGGATGGTCTATGAAACGCATAAGTGTATAATATGATATGTGAACACTAAGGACGGTATAATGAGACACGTTATTAATGCGGACAATAGGTGCCACTTTCGTTGTCTTTGTTTGTACCGGTTGTTTCAATTACATTATATTATGTGTTCCACGTATAGATCATATGGGCATTCTATTTTGAAAGAGGATTTCTAGCTATACATGCTAGTGTTATTCGACAGTACTAACGTCCCTTTAGTCGGAGGCGCTGTATCTTTAATGGATGCAGGTGGTTCTACAGCAGGTGGCATTGATCAGTGATAGCAGTACACTCCTTTTAGCTTATTTGGTGAGCCCCACTTCATTTCGGGGTCATGTATCTTTTATTTTTCATGTACTTTGTGGTTGAGGTATAGCCGAGAGCTTGTTGTCGGCATTTTCATATTACTCTTCTATTGTATTTAGAGGCTCCGTAGACAGGTTGTGGGTTGTGGTTGATGTTGGGAATTGAACTAGAATTCTTGGTATTTGGAAATCATGTTTTTCATTAATTCTAAAAACGCGTAATATTTTGAAAATTATGAATGAAGCCGCTAATGGGAATGAAATGAGAGTTATTAATGAAATCTTTTTAGTGTTGATTAATGGAGTACATCTTCTCTTTATTCATGGATGAATTTGGGTAGAAGGTAATCTAACAGGCTTGCTCGGTCGGGTTCTTTCGGTTGAGCGCCGGTCGCACTCCCCGAGTTTGGGGCGTGACACATATAATTGCATTTGCATTTTATATCATTTACATAATAATTGCAATAATAGCCCATATTTTTGTAATAATTATATTTATTATACGATTAAGGTCAAAATAGAATTTTTATATTTTTATAATCATAATCTAATATTTAAAAGTTTTTAATTTCATAAATGGAATTTTTATATATATTAGCTATTTTATAATTCATTGTTATTAATTTTAGATGTTTTAAAACATCTAGCCCAATTATGTCAAATTTCGAACCAAAATAAGTCCAAAACACCTAAGCCCAGTACCCCTGAGCCAAACAGGATGACCCAATACAACCGACCCAATCCAAAATCGGCCTTGACCCGATAAGCCTGGCCGGCATGGAACCCCACAATATTTTCTTTCCTTTCCCGTGTCAATCAAGGATTCTTCACCATCTATGGCACCCGCTCCCTGGTACCCCATCAATTTATGGTACTCGCTCACTCGATTTTGCAAGATTCAAAATGAATCGGCTCTAAATTCCAGATCAATACATTTGGGGAAAATCTTTACGCTCCTTGACCGTCTGATTCGTTGGTACATGCAGTGATTTTGGTGTGTTACTTTTTGCCGTAATCCGGTATGGAATCGATATGTATGAGATTGTTTCTTTATTCTGTGGTTCAATGGATTCTTTCCTTTTATGGTTGTGTGAATCGAATACTATATAAACCCCATCCTTTTCCCCCGGAGGCAGACATAGGTCACTCGTATTATCACACTCATACTCGCACTTATTTTTCTGTGTTCTGTGCTCTCTCAGTTCTACTTGATTCTACTATTGTTTGGTTGATCTATGGTCGGCTGGAAGCCAATGCTATCTGGTATTGATTCTTTAGACCTTTTACCGGCATAAGCACTACTCGATATCCCAAGAGGTCGTCGTGAACTTTGACTTGCCGGGATTCGAGGTTCTAGATATGCTATTAGGGCTCTTTGCAATTTCTGCTACTCGTTCTTGTTATTGTCTTGACTGGTTAGTCTCTTAGCCATTTGATTTTATTCTTGCCTATTTAATTGTGAAATTTGATGTGATCGGCTTTCCCAATTGTGTTCTTGTCTTAATTTTGTTGTCAAAGTATGCTTATAGGAAATACGTGCAACTGTCTCACACCATGAAGTTCAATTATTGATGCTTCTATTAAAATCTTGACTATGCTCAATGTGTGATTCTGCAATTAAACTTAGCTAGTCGATTTGGATAGGTGCATTGTTCGAATTTGGTGTTTAGCTTACCATTCTTTGTTGAATGTCTTGTTATAGTTTGTTAGTTTGCTACTAAGGGGTGATTCAAATTGGTTATAATTGATTGAATGTTGATTTTAGTGGCATCTCTCTCGCTATTTAATAAGAATAATTCACATGTGTTCTTTTATATGACAAGTCAGACCTTAAGTTTTCCTAAAGTCCTGCTCATGCTGCTCTTAATCCTTGATAAGGCCTGAAACATGAAGGCATTAGTTCATGTGTGTTCATTGTGACCTATTTCTTTCCTTGTTGACAGGGAACTTGTTTGTAAACCTTTAGTCACTCGTTTGGTGCAAAAAGTGATTCATTACGGCTTGGCTATCATGTTAAAAATTAGTAACAATATACATGGCTTAACTTATCACTTGTGTTGTCTGTATACACTACTAACAAATCTGGTTTTAGTGACGGACAAGATATGTAGCTAATTACCTTTAATTGGGCCTCTTCTCGCTATTGCTGGGTTATGGGTGCAACTTATTGGCCCCTCCATTTCTTTGGAAAATTTGAAGGCCCAAATTCACTTGGGTTTACACTGTATTTAGTTGTTATGTCACTAGGCATGTGGCCAGTGTATTCTTTATCTCTTTCTGATTGGGCATGTAATAATAACTCTTGCAAAATTGTCACAACCCAATTTTTACTATAAGCCGTGATGGCGCCCAACGTCGCCGCTAGGCAAGCCAATGGTGAACTATCCATTTAATTTCTCATTTTAACATTTTTAAAGTCTTTGATTTTTTTTTTATTTAATGCGAAAACAAGTAGTAAGTGAACGTAGTAATGTAAAGCATAAACCAGTAGAATATGCAAAAACTTTCTAAGAAATACTGTCTGAATAGAAATAGACATAAATGATAAAACATAACAAGAGAAGGCTCTGGGTGTTGCAGAACGGAGCATTGGAAGGCAACTCACCACTAAACCTCCGGGTAATGCGGATACGCGCCCGAACAAACTCCAGATGCACCTGCCTCAGAACTTGCACAATATATGTAGAAGTTTAGCGTGCGTACATAAACAACATGTACTCAGTAAATATCTAATCTAACCTCGAAGAAGTAGTGATGAGGGGTCGACTTCGACACTTACTAGTAGGCATATACATAATATACAAGATTATTTAATAGGAATGAAATACAATATCAATGATGGAATAAGAGGCAATAATTAAATGACCAATTATCAAAATATCAATTAAAAGTCCCCAAATATCACATACTAATCTCAACAAGTAAGGGCTCAACATGTATTTATAAATCGTCAAGTCATGAAAGAAATATCAAGTGTAATCGAACTCTGAGTGACAACACGCGCGAGTTATGCCAAGGTCGTACGACCCGATCCATAATAATTGTGTACATATAGTACCAAGGTCGTACGGCCCGATACATGGATGCATCCATATATATATATATATATATATATATATATATATATATATATACCCGATCCATAATAATTGTGTATATATATTACTGAGGCATTCAGCCTGATCCATAAGAATAGGAAAACTCTTCGATTTCGAATTTTATATTTACAACTCCGAGATAAGTCCATGAAAGAATATAATTTCCATCCATAATTAAACATTCTGCCAACTCTCTAATTAATACAGCTCGGCTTAACATAATCTTTAACCAAATTTTATTTATTAATACAAGCGATTAAACTAGTAAGTTGAGTCCAAATAGTGCAAGTAATAGCATAATAAAGGCCTATATCTACCAGGACATAACATGAATTTTAGCTGCGCACGGACTCTCATCACTTCGTGCGTATGTATCACCCACAATTAGTAGAAAATAACAATTTAAACACATATGGGGTTAATTCCCTCTTACAAGGTTAGGAAAGAGACTTACCTCGTTCCCAAGTCCACTTTCCTGTCCACAAATCACTCTAAAAGTCTCAAGTCGGTGCCAAACAATCTGAAACTAGCCAAAGGTTGTACAAACAAATAAATAGTTGCTCAAAGTTCATAATTTAACTATTGGAGTGATTACCCAACCCAATTTGGAAGCTTTCTAAAATTCAATCCCGGGCCCACGTGCCCCGATCCGGAAATTTTTATAAATAACTGTTACACATAACCTCACGAACGCAATATATAATTTTACCCAATTTCATAATCCTTTTCGTGGTCTAATCTCATTTTTATCAAAATCTAGGTATTTCAACCAAAATCCTAATAGTTTCACTATTTACATGTTAAAATCTATCAATAATTTATGTATCAAGCTCACATTATATAGAAATCACTTACCTCCAATACCTAGGTGAAAATCCCTCTCTACAAAGCTCCAAAATCGGCTAACAAATGAGAGAAATGAACAAAAAGGCAGAAATCCCGATTTTTGTTAAGTCATTGCCCATGTTTGCCTTCTTCGCGATCGCGGACAAGCCCTCGCGATCGCAAAGGCAAAAATCACGAACCTAGAAAAATGTCTTCTTGGCGATCGCGAATGCGTGCTTCCATTCGTGAAAGTGAAAGGCAACTGGGTTTCCTAGGCCCAGGCCCAGGTCTTCTACGCGAACACGACAAGTTGACAGTGAACGCGAAGGCCACTGATCCCAAGCCTCTACGAACGTGACTCAGACTTCGCGAACGCGAAGAACAACATCACCCAGTCCCAATATCCTTCTTCGCGATCGCGAAGGTCCCTACGTGTTTGCAACGAAGGAAACCAGAACAACACACTAGTAGCTTTTAGACATAGCTCTGAGCGGTCCAAAATGCACCCGATCCCCCTAGGACCCCGTCCAAATAGACCAACAAGTCTATAACCATAATACAGACCTAATCGAACCCTCGGAACACATAAAACAACATCGAAACTACGAATCGCACCCCAAACCCAAATTGAATCAACTTCAACTTCTTAACTATCTCTGAACGCGCCGAATAATACTTAGATTACTCAGAATGACACCAAATTTTGCGTATAATCCATAAATCACTATACAGACTTATTCCCAGGCTCGGAAATCCAAACGGACCTTGATAACACCAAAGTCTACTCCAAACCAAATTTAAAGAGCTAAAAAACCTTTAATGAACCAACTTTCAATATTAAGCGTCGAAATGCTACTGGATCACCCCTGAAACCCTATCTGAACACACGTCCAAGTCCAAAATTATCATGTGCACCAATTGGAATCATCAAATTCCGTTTCCGAGGTCATTTACTCAAAACGTTGACTCAAGTCAAACTTGGCCATCATAGGCCACTATTAAGGTACTAAGTATTCCGATTTTAACATGAACCCTTTCCAAACCTAAACCAACCATCGCCACAAGTCATAAAACATTAAAAACACATACATGAAGTCTTAATTAGGGGAACGTGGATCTAGAAGGCAAAATGACGGGTCGGGTCATTACATTCTCCACCGCTTAAACAAACATTCATCCTTGAACGGGTCTAGAATCATACATGGAGAGCTAAATAAATGCAGATATCTGCTCTGCATGTCCTCTTCGGTATCCCAAGTCGCTTCCTCAACTAGTTGACCCCTCCACTGGAAGTTTACCGTAGAAATCTTCTTGGACCTCAACTAGCGAACCTGTCTGTCAACATAGCAACTCCTCATAACCCAAGCTCTCATCTAGCTAAACCTTGTTGTAATCTAACACATGTGACCTGTCGACATGGTACTTTCGGAGCATAGACACATGGAAGACCGGATGAAATCCTGATAAACTGGGAGGCAAAGAAAGCTCATAAGCAACCTCCCCAACTCGCATCAACGCCTCAAATGGGCCAATAAACCTTGGGCTAAGCTTGCCCTTCTTCCCGAACCTCATGATACCCTTTATTGGTTAGACTTTCAAGAGATCCTTATCGCCCACCATAAATGATAAATCACGTGCCTTCTGATACGTGTAACTCTTCTATCTGGACTGTGCTTTGCGAAGCCGCTCCTGAATCAACTTTACCTTCTCCAAGGCATCCTTCACTAAATTAGTGTCATATAACCTAGCCTCCCCAGGCTCAAACCATCCTATGGGCGAACGACATTACCGACCACATAAAGCCTCAAATAGAGCCATCTCGATGCTGGACTGATAACCGTTATTATAAGCAAATTAGACCAAAGGCACGAATCGATCCCACTTCCCTCCGAAATCAATTACACCCACTCTTAGAATATCCTCCAGAATCTAAATTATTCGCTCCGACTGCCCGTCGGTCTACGGATAGAAGGTTGTGTTGAGCTATACACAGGTGGAAAACTCGTTATGTATTGCTCTTCAAAAATGCGAAGTGAACTAAGGGCCTCTATCATAAATGATGGAAACAGGCACACCATGCAACCGAACAATCTCTTGAATATAAATCTAGGCCAATCTCTCTGAAGAGTACATAGTCACAGCCAGAATAAAGTGTGCTGACTTGGTCAGCCTGTCGACAATGACCCAAATAGCATCAAACTTCCTCAACGTTTGCGGCAACCTAACTACAAAGTCCATAGTAATCTGCTCCCATTTCCACTTCGGTATAACCATCTACTGGAGTAGGCCACCTAGCCTCTGGTGCTCATACTTAACTTGTTGGCAATTTAGACACCTCGTTACATACTTAACTATGTCCTTCTTCATCCTCCGCCACCAATAATGTTGCCTCAGGTCATGATACATCTTCGTATCACCAGGATGAATAGAATACCGAGAACTGTAGGCCTCCTCTAGAATGTTCTTTCTCAAGCCATCAACATTAGGAACACATAAGTGACCCTGGAGTCGCCGAACACCATCCTCGCCGATAGTAACCTTTTTGGCACCACCCCGTAGTACCGTCTCTCTAAGAATCAGAAGGTGCGGATCATCGTACTAACGAGTCTTGATCCACTCAAATAATAAAGACTGAGCCATAACACATGCAAGAACTCGACTAGGCTCTGAAATATCCAACCGCACAAGTCTGTTAGCTAAGGACTGAATGTCCAAAGACAATGGCCTTTCCTCTGCTGAAAAAAATGCCAATCTACATATACTCTCGGCATTTCTACTCAAGGCATCCACAATCACATTCGTCTTGCCTGGATGGTAAAGGATATTAATATCATAGTCCTTCAGTAACTAAAGCCACATGTGCTTCCTCAAATTAAGATCTCTTTGCTTAAACAAATTTTATAGGCTACGATGATCGGTGTAAACTTCACAGGACACCCCAGAAAGATAATGCCTCCAAATCTTGAGAGCATGAACTATCGAGGCCAACTCCAAATCATGTACGAGGTAATTCTTTTGTGGGGTTTCAGCTGACGTGAAGCATATACAATAACTCGCCCCTCCTGCATCAATACATAACCTAGGACAACGCGTGAAACGTCACAATACACAGTATACATCCCTGAACCGGAAGGCAACACTAAAACCGGTGCTGTAGTTAAAGCTGTCTTGAGCTTCAAAAAGCTCGCCTCACAATCATCAGACCATCGGAACGGAGCACCCTTCTGGGTCAATCTAGTCAAAGGTGTTGCAATAGATGAGAAGCCCTCCACAAACCGGCAATAATAACCTTCTAACCCCAAGAAACTCCTGATCTCGATCGTTGTGGTAGGATGAGGCCAACTATGGACTGCCTCGATCTTCCTGAGGTCCACCTTAATACCCTCACCTGATACAACATGCCCCAAGAATGCCATAGAATCTAACTAGAACTCATACTCGGAGAACTTAG